ACTACCGCCTCTTTAGCTTTTATGGTCTCCGAGAGTTGCCTCAGGAGCCCCGAATCCCTTTCATCCCCTTGATGTGGGGGTCTGTAACAGACCCCTACCACCAAATCCCTTTCTCCTTGCCCCCCATGTAGCCTAAACCACAATCCTTCTACCTCCTCATCCTTGGATTCTGTCTTGATGAGGGTTGACGTATATTGCTCACTGATATAGAGCGCAACCCCTCCCCCTTTCTTCCCCACCCTGTCCTTTCTGTACAATCTATAGCCCTCAATATGTACTGCCCAGTCATGGGATGAATCCCACCAGGTTTCCGTTAGCCCCACTAAGTCATAGGTGTTTTAAAATCCATGTGGATTTTAAGTTGGAGGTAACAAATATTAAACTTATGTTAAACTAATATAAAACTTAATTTGATTAGTTTGGCACACTAATAACCTGAATTCAAATAATGGTGGTCATTTGCATGAAATGGGTTGTCTTATCCCACTTAAATCTATACATGCAATAATAATTATGCATTTTATACAAATGGTGTCAAACTCCTCATGTGCCATGAGATGGAGGAGTGGTGCAGAGCTGGTCTGGCATGGCAGCCACATGTAGCATGCACCCCAGACTGGCACTGTGTGTTACACAGTGTGTGCTGGTCCCATCCCATACACTGCATACACTGGCCTTGGCCCGATGTACTCCATACAGCATACATGCCAGATCCAGCCCCACACGTCAGGTACAGGGAACACCACTGCATTAAGAATGTGAACCAGGCTGGCTCCACACATCACATGTAACATGCACCAATCCCAGCCCCAACTCTGCATGCTGTGTGTACGATACGTACCAGATCTGTCCCAATGTGTTGCATACAGTGCCCCACATGGCATACACAGTGCTTGCTTGGCCTGCATGCCACATGCAACATGTGGGGACAGTCCGGTGCATGCTGCATGTGGCAGGCAGGTTCAGACTGAGACCCATAGGCTGCACTGCAGGCTGGATATTAAAACTCTGTGGTCTGTATCCAACATGCCTGCTTTACACAGTGCTTTAAATCTTTCTAGTGCCTTATAAGCTCTAATTAATTAATACTGAAAGTATCTCTATAAGATTGGTTTAAGAGAAGCAGTACTGGTCTCAATTCTCATCCATAGTTCGTGTTGCTTTGTATGATCTTTCAGAAAATAGCAACTTTGGATTTCCCTTCCTTGGGGGGAATTCTGGGATGGTACAAAGCTCATATAGGTAATTCAACTATATGCTCCTTTCCCTTACCATCCTTACACAGTAGTTGAAAAGCCAGGGAACGTATTGGGGTTGGAGAAAATCTGGCCAAAGCGCTCGTTTGTTGGATGGTTCAGGGGCTCCTGTGAGATTGCTGCAGCTCCATCTTGGCCTTTGGCCAGCACAGAATTCAGGGGAGGAGAAACCTGTCTTATAGCCACCTTTCCCCCTTTCTGTACTCAGCTGCAACAAGTATAAATTCAATGCAACTGAAAATTGAACCCACTATGTCATTTCGCATAGAGTGACATATTGTAATTGACAGTCTGTGCTCAAGAGAAGCCTAAGACTGGAATTGCAAGGATGTTGAAGGTGACGATTGAGGCACGTTGTCAGCTCTTTGATGGGAATCTTGCACAGTACCTATCAGCATTGTAACAGGTTCATCCTAGTACTATTAGTCCTTCACTTTCATGGGCAATAAATTCACTCACACATTTGTAATGGAAAAAAAGCAAACTAAGATACTTTTAAATATATTTTTAAAGTGTCATACTTTCTAACATGCTCCACTGTAAGTCACAGTTTTAACAAATCTATGGAGAAAGGTGAAAAAGTATTAAAAGATTCACATATTACTTTATGTTGGAACAGGAAGAATGAAAAGAAATATAAAAGGAAGAGATCAAAGTCTTTTGATCCTGTTTGTTTTCTGTCATTCATTTAGAATAATTGAGATCATTTTGCCCAATACAAAAATGAGTGAACACCTGTTGCAGAAAAATATGGTCTCAGGAAAAAACAAGAAGCCTAAAGTTCCAGTCTTAGTTTGACAGATCTGTATCTCTAAAAGCTTATTTTGACATGGCTTGCCTCTTAGAACACAAAATAATTTCCCTCTAAGTGTTTGTACCCCACTTTCAAGCAGTAGGAACAGCTGTGGGAACTTGGAGTCTGCCTGATCACACCTCTCAGAACCAAGTGAGAGGTGCTGGGAGATTCAGTGGTAGCTATGGAGTGAGGTATAGCCAAGCTAATAAAAATTGTGTGAGGATTCATTTCTGTTAGGATACATTCATTAATGTGTGTCTTAAAGTCAGGTTTAAGATTTCCAAATTTATACATTGCAGCATTACTCCATTATATGATATAATATAATGTGTTTAAAAAAAACAGTAGTAAAAACAAATTAGATTATAATATTTTTTTTGGTTTCCAATCTTGCAACTAGAGCTGCATGGACAGGTGTTTGTGATTATTACAGAGCCTTAAGGAAGTCAATTGATGCTTCTCAAAAGATTAGCTGCCCCCGTTTTTGGATCTTATTGCAGGTTTGAAGCCTGTGATGCCCAGTTTATTTCCCTCAACATGCAGAGCTCCTTCAGCAAATATTCAGTGTCAGATAAAATAAGAAATTAATTCTCAGTTACTTCAAGAGTCAGAGGAGAATGAGCTACCCTCCTGTTCCACTGGCAACAGCTTAGTTGTCAAACATCATCTGTTATTGTCCTGTTGAATGTGAAGTTTATATAATCTCTTAATCTGCCATTTGCTCATGATACTCTGAAACTGGGATACTGTCCAGTACTTTTTAAATAGGTTTTATAAATTCTTCATTCTTTGTAACATCCTTTTGGAAGCTTTAAAATGAAGTCACATAGTGTGTCTCATTTCACGTCTCTAAACTCACAGGGTGCTACAAAGATTAGAAGATATGCTTCCTTTTTTATACTGACTGGTGCTTGGCTTAATACTCATGTTTCGTAGGGGTTTTCTCCCAAGCTTCTGGGAGAGAAGGGACATCCAGAGGACCAGGTTTGAAATTCTGCTACAGAATTTGCTTCCCCTTCATTTCACCAAGCAAGCCTATAGTTAATCTTTTGTAAAACGTGCATGAACAAAAATATTTTTTTCTTGAGGCTTGGAGAGGTATAATGAGGCAGATAAGGATTGTTGTGACTGCTATTGTAGTATTATTGTGAATACTTTTATTGTGGCAGCCAAGTATATTACATGAAGCTGTTTAGGAGGGTTCCAAATATACATTGTTTTATGTATGTGTGTGCACACATGCACACACATGTGTTTATGTGCATGTAAACACACACACACACACACACACACACACATACACACACACACACAAACCGTGTTGGTTTTCTATATCCTTATAGTAAAAGTCACCAGAATAGTGAAAGTACCTTTTAGTATACATTCAAGAAATAAACCTAGATGGAAAAATTATTTGACTTTATTTTAGGTTTGTGCTAATTTACTGCTTTGGTCATTGCTTCTATTGTTTTTTCTCTTCACTTTTGTTTAGTTCCATCAGATGTGTTTTTTTTTAATTCATTGTGGAAAGGGTTTTATGAGTATCTGGGGAAAAGACAACCTGCTACTCTAATGGTAGATTGGTTCAATACAACAAGTAGCAAAGTGAATGCAACATTTATTGAAGCATCCAACATCCAACTAAAACTATCAGGTGAGTTCAGAATTAGGTAATTGAAATGCCTGTTGATTTGTTTGCTTGTTGAAATTATTTGGATTTATTGCATTTTCTAAATGCCTAAGTTAGAATCACACCAGTAATGTACTGTAACTGATGAGATGAATCATATGCACACTATATCAAATAAAATAAAAACCCTGACTTCATGTTGTCAGTAAAAATTCATGTTTATCTTTTGAAAGCATAGAGGTGCTAAACCCAGTGTGCTGCCTATATTTCAGTTTGCTCAGTAAAATGTTCCCTACCTCAATAATAAATGTGGTAGGGTTTTTTTTACTACTTTTTTCACAAAATATTGTGACATTGCTATGTGCCATGAAAACAATTCACATGTGTTATGCATGTTAATGGCTGTATTTTACTGGTGGTGGGCAGAGTGATCCATACCATATGTCATTGGATAATGCTTTAAGATTTATTAGGTTGAACCACACTATCATCTGTTCATTATTAATATTTATTTGTAAAAAAGACCTATTTTGAAACCACCTTTTATGAAGTGGGCACGGTTAATTACAAAACGTAATAAATTATGTACACTGCATGCCTTTCTGCAACACTGATCTATGTTTTGATCTAGCAGTCTGACCACAATTATATTTCAAATACCCGTTATCAGCTTCATGTATCTTTATGGGTCAAATGTACAGGGAGAGTTCCAGTTGTTATTTGCTAAACAGCAAATCATTTTCTCTGACACTATTTGTTTACTATAGTAATACAGTATAGTGGGTTAAAGCACATATCTCTGAAATTCAAACTGACATTGTTATTCCAACAAGGCAGGAGTTCAGTCTTCATTTCTGATTTCTGAACCCGTACATAGAGAAACAGGTACTCTAATTTATTTATATTTAAAGAGAACATACAAAAACAACTCTCTTTTTATTATCAATTTTTATATAGGTAAAAAACAAGTACAAAGAACAACCTGGAACAAAAATATTATGAGAAATAGAGAATATTTTCTGGAAGTTTATTTTATTGTTGGCAACGAACTTTATTTGGTTCATGAAAGTAATCGAATGACTTCTTTTAGGCTGCTTTCAGACATTAAAAAAAAAACCCAAACTGTGCTTTACTGGAAGAAGCAGCCCATTACTTTGACCTGGCTCTGCAGCATCTGGATACACTGGCTGCTTCAGCATGGCTTTTTGGCACTTTTATCTAAAGCAGAGTCAATCAACGATTAGATAAAAGCACCAAAAAAAGTCCCACTAAAGCACCCGATCTATACAGACACTGGACGAACTGGGTCCAACGAACATGCTGCCACGGGATCATGCTTAGTTTAGATCAAAGCACTGTTTCGGAGGGGGGGAGGTTTAAGTCTGCAAAAGTCTGCAAGCAGCCATAAATGTTAGCTATGCTAGATCCATGAGAAAAAAAATTAAGCCATACTTCATCTTCTTCTCTCAATAGGCATTTATAAGAAAGAAGAAGCTCATTTGCTTTTGAAAGTCTTTCAGATTAAAGGACCTGTGGAGATATTTGTAAGCAAATTTGAGAATGACAACTGGGCCCTAGATGGTTATGTAAGTAACCAATTTGCTATAAATATGCTTGTTTGGATTCAAGCAGGACATACTTTCTTGTGTGCTACTACTATCCTATCTTTTACATTATGATTGTTTAATATTCTACTTAGATAATTTTTTTTTTCTACAAAGATACATATATATGTATTTTATCCCCTCCCCCACACCTTACTGGAAAATAAAGTAAATATACATATTTTCTGAAATTTGTCGCTTGTTTCACTATATATGGGTGAGATTTTTTTTCTTTATTTTCTTCTATTTTGAAAACACTTTTTTGGATAACTATACTGAAGCTTAAGTTGAAGATAGTGATTGTCTTTAAAATACAAGCTAGGAAGCTTGGAAGTTATAGGGAGTTAAGTTTTTAACCTCTAATATATACAGTCCCCTTATTAAGAAATGAAACCATCTTTACACAAATTCAGTAAATGCCCTGTAAAGATAAAAACATAATTCCTAAACTGTATATCTGATTTAATTTGTTACACATTTTACTGATAAGTTATAATATGTAATATCATTTTCAAGTGGTTGCTACAGTGGGTACATTTACATGAGACATTTACTTTGCAGGTGACTAAGTAGCCATGCATCTCACTGCCTACACATGGACCCCTATTGGGCTGGAATAAACTAATTTACAAGTACCAAACTGCTGAGGAGTAAAAAATTACAAAATCTGCAGCATCTACATGTGTACATGCTGTCCAGCTAGCTGGGGCACTAGGGTGCTTCATTGTGGGGGCTACCTGCTGGCTAGTCCTTCACTGAAGCTCCCTTGTGCCCCAGCCATCCCCTTCACAGCACACTAAACCAGGGGGAACAGCCTCAGGCTGGTAGACTAATCCCCAGGACCTGCTGCTAACTGCGGCTGCTCTGCCCATGCTCCATGTGCTATGCCTGAATAAACTGTGGATTTTATTGCTTCGGAGTTAAATGCTTCCAGGTGCACATTCAGATGGCATACCTGGGAGCAATTAAGTCTCAAGCAATAAAATCCACAGTTTATTCAGGTGCCATATTGCATGTGTAGATGCCTCTACTGGTGATATTTGAAAACTTGCTAGGTATAGTTTACATTAAAAATATATGTATTTCATTCCCTGCAGAATTCCCTTTTCTTTCACAAAACTTTGTATACTGATAAAGTTTACTTTCACTTATGAAAGCTTATGCCTTGTATAAAGGAGCTAGTCTCTTAGGTCTCACACACATTACATCTATTGCACAATTAATTGGTTAGCTGCAAAGTAAATGTACACATGCTATAGGTGCAAGGTAATTTTCACACAATACAAATAGTCAATGAGCCACAAAGCTGTTGCTTGAAAAATGTAGAACATTTTTGTAGCTGCTTTGTTTTAAACTTTAAGTTGAACATGCACCATGTCACACATAGGGTAATAGTGTTTGGCCAGGTCCTCCAGTATCCCAGAGTAGACTGCTTTCTCTCCATGCCTCTCCTCCCCCCGCCCCTATGACTAACGCTTAACTCCACTGTTCTAAGGCACAGTAGCAGGAGATGTCTTGACTCCCTACTTTCTTCTTTGAACCATGTTGCCCTTCCTACTCTCCACCCCCTTCACCCTGGTCTCCACAGATTTCCACAAGAGTTAGAGGGCATCCCCTTTATCCAGAGGAATCCCAGTTGACTTTCCCAGCACAGCTGGAGAGATGGATCACAACCCTGGCGGCAGTGCTCCTGCTCCCCTTTTTGGCAAGCACTGGCAGAGCAAGTTCTCAAGACACCTTTTCCCCCCTCTAGATAGTTTTCCTTTTGAATGCACGCCATATGGCATGCAAATTTTCATTGAACGATATTGCCTCTTGCTTGATGGAAGTAACATTTTGCAGGGTCCTAGGGTACTACCCTTCCCTGTCTCTCCCTGACTTCAGTCTAAGATGCTTCTCAAAGCTTTCTATAGGATATAGTAATTCTGAATCCTGAAAATATGTAGGCTATTTTTATTGAAATGAAATATTTAAAAAAAAATATTTGCAAGGCATATGTTAAAAAAAGTAAATAGTGTTGTTAATTGCTATTTAAAAATCAATTAATATCTACATTTTAATTATAAATTAAAACATTAATAAATTACCTAAGAAATGGGTAAAAGTGATAAAACTATAACTGGTTATAAATAATTATTCTGAATATGTTCTAAATAGAACTGATGTACCACAGATTCCTAAAATGTTTATGTGTTTGTTTCAAGCATCTTACTCCTATTTTATGTGCTTTAGGTGTCATCAGGGCTTGAAAGAGGTGTGTTTACCTATCAAGGTGATATACATGGAAAAGACTTTGGAAAATTTATGCTCCAAAGACAAGGTAAGAATGTATTTTTGGAATTTTATGATGTATTAGCTCTTTGGCCTTTATAAATGTGAAGGCATCAAATGACTGTGCCAACATCTTAGTTGAACAAAACATATTTATTTTATGGAATTGCTATCATAAGCCTTACAAATGTTCTAAAGCACTTAATAATTTAGTTGAAATATATCATTAAAAACCTAATTGAGCTATGTCATGGTACCATCTCAGCAACCTAATAAGATGACCATAGGATACTCCTGTAAAGAACATCAGTACAAATGTTCATGAAGTAATATATGATAATTGCTTTGCAGTAAATGACTGTTTCAAGGTAGTGAGGATGCCAGACAATGCTGAACCATTTTTTGTTCAACTGCATAAATTACATAGTTCTGAGTGTCCAGAATTATAAGGGCACTTTGAATGTTAAAGCTAAAGTCAAAACAGATTTTCAGTATTATCCAAGAGTATGTTTACTATCCAATAGCTTGTTTATGTGCATATCGGTTTGGGATAGGATTCTACTTGGGTGTCAGGTTTTTTTTTTGTTTTTTGTAATGAATATTAGACTGTGGTACATTACAGCTATAAATTCAAATATGCTAGCAGATGGTACGAAACCAGTTACTCTTCTCCATAAAAGGAGCCTCAGCAGATTCCATCTGTACCTGTCATTATTTCATGACCCTGGAACCATTATAAAGCAGTTTAAGTATCATTAATGTGCAGACATACATCAACACACTGCTGGGCAGAAAGAACAAGTTATGCAGTCATTGCCAAATCTTTAGGTGGCATAAACTGTCATGCCTCCATTAATGTTCACAAAACTATATTATTCTACACCAGCTCAGGATCTGACAAAATTTATTAATTTTGTACCAAATTCCATTATATTCACTTGCTCTATTATTTTAATACTTCCATGTATATCCTGACTATTTATGAATGTGTAATCATCTCATTAGCTGTGGTGTTGTTTTTATTGGTTAGAACCAATGGATACATTTAAGCTGTGGTGTTGTTTTTATTGGTTAGAACCAATGGATACATTTATTTTAATTTCCTATTCTCCATCTCCTGCCCTTCTCTGTGCTATGAGAAGAGGGTGGGGGGAGCTATCTCACAGTGCTTCTGAGCTTCAGAGCCTGTGCTCAGTGCTCCTTCTATCAGTGAACAGGAAGGTTGTGATATGCTGACTGGCTGCCTCGTGCACTGGAGAAGGTGGCTATGGCTTATTGTAGAGATGAGTAACCATTTTAGTTTCATGGACTAAGTACAGAAGTTCAGCAAGCCCCGGCAGAAGTGCTCTATTTAAATTGTGATACATTAAAGCCCAAGTGAACTGAACAGATGTTTACTGTTTGGTGGAAGGGGATGCTCAGAGCCTTTCTGCACTGGCTGCTGGGGACAGTCCCACACATCTCTCAGGAGGCTGCCTGAGTGGAACCCGGCTCCCCGCCCCCAGCTGGCCACTGTCAGCAGCTATTGGAGAGACCCTGGACCCATGTCCCTACAGCCCTCCCACTTGGGGCAGCTGCAGAGAGACCCCAAAAGCTTTCTTCCACAGCCCCCACCTCACCAAGCAGTGGTGCACTGCTGCCTGGCCCAGGCTGCAATGGGACCCTGCAACCCTTCTCCCACATTCTGCCCACACAGGCAGCAACTCACCACTGCCTGGCCCAGATCGCTGTGAGGGGAGAGACCCTGGAGCCCTTCCCCTGCAGCACCTCTCCCCACAACAGGGCTGTGGTGTGCTGTGGGGCCAGGGCTGGGGTGACCGCAGGGGCAGAAACTCCCTGTCTCCCCCCACCGCAAGGCTACCAGCTGGGCTGGAATCAGAGGCTGTCACTGAATAGTGTCAGCAACACCTGAGCAGGCAGATGAGCTCCGCCGGAGGCTACACTGCAGCCTTGAGCAACAACTTCCTGGGATGGCAGTGACTATGCTCTAAATTAACCCTCAAGGGGATCATAGTTTCATAGTTTGTAGGGTCGGAAGGGCCTTTGACAGAACATCAAGTCCGACCCCCTGCCATGGCAGGAAAGAGTACTTGGGGCAAACGGACCCCGTAAAGGGTTCAT